ACCCCAGCCATAGTCTCCAGTTACAGGCAGCACCAGGGCAGCTGGGTGGTTGACGACCCTTAGACACTGACTAACTGTACTGGAGATGGTGACTTGCCATTTTAAGCTACTTTGTTTTGGGGGTGGCTTACAAAGCAGCCAAAAGGAGCCGGTATAGAGGATAAACGGCGCTGGTGCGCTGGTGAGCTGGTGAGGTATGAGCTGACTGAAGAAGCCATGAGCACATGGCTTCTGTGTGCACCTGGAGCAACTGCATCTTAGATGCCCAGTTCTATCTGCCTCTTCTGGTTATTGGCAGCACTCTCTGAAAAGGGTGAGTGGGTGTAGGCTGCTTAGAAATCCTTGGAGGTGAGGCCTCACAGGCAATTTGGCGCTCGTTAATTAAGCAGATATTATTAGTTTTGTTTACCTGGGAGGAACGCTGTGATAACAAACCTGCCAGTTCCTCTCCTTCCGCCTCTTGCAGACTGAGGCTTTTATTATTATTTTGATCCGCGCACCAGCCAGAAAAGGGGAGTGTGTCTAAATACTGGAGTGATCTGCTTGTAAGCCAAGCAGCTGGGCAGACAGAGCTGGAATGGCAACAAAGTGATTTTAGCTGAAGTCAGGGCTTTAGTGAGAAATTCAGCGACAGGGTCCCCAGTGTTACAGTAGATCTCCAGAAACCAGGTAGGGTGCAGAGACCTGGATGCCTGTGTGGGTGACCTGTTATTCTCTGAGACAACTCAGCCACATGGTAACTAGTGTCCTGCTGTGGTAGGGGATCCTGACCACCTTAGGAGTGGAACTATTGTCTGCAGGCTTAATGCTATTAAGTTTGGGACACTCCTGGTGGGAAACTAAAACACAACTGTGTTGTAGGCTAAGATTAGACCCTCTTAAGAGGTCGGTGACACTGGAATTTGGCCCCTTGTCTCCTGGATGCAAAGTCCAATTTCTTTCTGCTGTACAGACATCAAGGACAAGCCACTGTGCTGTTGAGGCCTGTGGGTACTCCTAGCGTCTGGCTCTGTGCTGGTGGTTTTATCTCAACTTAACACGAGCTAGAGTCATCTGAAAGGAGAGAACATCCCCTTGAGAAAATGCCTTTGTAAAATCCGGCTATAGGGTATTTTCTCAATTAGTGATTGATGGGGGCGGGCCTAGCCCATGGCAGGTAGTGCCATCCCTGGGCTGGTGGCCCTGGGTTCTATAAGAAAGCAGGGTGAATAAGCCATGGGGAAGCAAGTCAATGAACAGCACCTCTCCACGGCCTCTGCATCAGCTTCTGCTTCCAGGGTCCTGCTTTGAGTTCCAGTCCTGACTTCTTTGGATGGTCAACAGTGATATGGAAGGGTAAGCCAAATAAACCCTTTCCTCCCCAATATGCTTTTTGATCATGGTGTTTCGTCGAAGCAATAGAAACCCTAGGTAAGACACACTCCTACAAAGCAGGTATGAAGACTAACGTGGGAGGTGTTTTTCCTCTCAGCTGGCTTGCTGCAGGGCCCTGGCTGCTGCTGCTGACAGCTTCTCCTCAGGGGCTCTACTCCAAAGGTCACCAAGTTCCTTCAAGGCAGCTAGTTAGTGCTAGCGTTTGCTTTTGGAGGGGGCGGAGCCTTCATTCCAGCTTCTGTTCCCTCCTCTCACCCTTGAAAGCTGAGCAGGGAAATGACGGATGCTTCTGCGATCTGCAGGTGGCCGGGCTCAAGCTGAGCATTCCTGTGGTGTTCCTCACCCTCAACACACACACACACACACACACACACATATGCACACACACGCATGCACACACACGGACATACACACATACACACATACACACATACAGGTGCACACATACATGTGCACACATGCACACACACGCATGCACACACGTACACACACGCATGCACACACACGAATGCACATACACACATACACACACATGTACACACATACACACATGCAGGCGCACACATGCATGCATGCACACATACTCATGCACACACACGCACACGGAAGATGTTGAGGTGTTGCTAAGTTGCCACCTGTTGTCCATGACTCCTGTCACCTGCTTCCATTAAAGCAGCACCTGAGCATTGGCCCCTTGTGGCTCCTCTCAGACCAGGGGACAGCCTTGTGACTACAATTTTGATCACACAGGTCCCAATACACACTTAAAACAAACAAACAAGCATTTAGAATCTCTTCAGAGGATTGAGTTTACTAAAGAACTTTAAAAAGTCAGTGGGCTGGTCATGTGACTCAGCACATTTTTTTTTAAGGTTCCCCCCCCCCCAATAATGACAGATACCAAGGTTTGTGAACCCCTAGTCTGAGCTATGGCTAAAAACATTAAAAACAAAAACAAAAACAGGAAGAAGCACCCACACTTTGATCTTCCTTCTTCATGAGCTTCCTATGCTTTGTGAGTTGTATCTTAGGTTTTGTGAGGGTTTGTGCTAATATTCACTTATCAGTGAGTGCATACCATGTATGTTTTTTTGTGACTGAGTTACTTCACTCAGGATGATATTTTCTAGTTCCATCCATTTGCCTAAGAATTTCATGAAGTCATTGTTTTTAATAGCTGAGTAGCCGGGCAGTGGTGGTGCATGCCTTTAATCCCAGCACTTGGGAGGCAGAGGCAGGTGGATCTCTGAGTTCGAGGCTAGCCTGGTCTACAGAGTGAGTGGCAGGACAGCCAGGGCTACACAGAGAAACCCTGTCTCGAAAAAAAAAAAAAAAACAAAAAAACAAAAAGCTGAGTAATCCTCCATTGTGTAAATAAATGTACCACATTTTCTGTATCCATTTCTCAGTTGAAGGCCATCTGGGTTCTTTCCAGTTTCTGACTATTCTAAATAAGGCTGCTATGAACATAGTGGAACATGTGTCCTTGTTATATGTTGGAGCATCTTCTGGGTGTATGTCCAGTAGTGGTATAGCTGGGTCCTCAAGTAATGCTATGTCCAGTTTTCTGAGGAAGCGCCAGACTGATTTCCACAGTGGTGATACCAGCTTGCAATCCCACCAACAATGGAGGAGTGTTTCTCTTTCTTCACATCCTCGCCAGCACCTACTATCACCTAAGTTTTTGATCTTAGTCATTCTGACTGGTGTGGGGTGGAATCTCAGGGTTGTTTTGATTTCCATTTCCCTGATGACTAAGTATGTTGAACATTTCTTTAGTTGTTTCCCAGCCATTCGAGTTCCTCAGTTGAAAATTCTTTGTTTAGCTCTGTACCCCATTTTTAATAGGGTTATTTGGTTGTCTGGAGTCTAATTTCTTGAGTTCTTTATATACCTTGGATATTAGCCCTCTATCGGATATAGGATTGGTAAAGATCTTTTCCCAATCTGTTGGTTGCCATTTTGTCCTATTGACAGTGTTCTTTGCCTTACAGAAGCTTTGCAATTTTATGAGGTCCCATTTGTCAGTTCTTGCTCTTAGATCATAAGCCATTGGTGTTCTGTTCAGGAACATTTCCCCTGTGCCCAAGTATTTGAGGTTCTTCCCCACCTTCTCTTCTATTAGTTTCAGTGTATCTGGTTTTATGTGGAGGTCCTGTATCCACTTGGACTTGAGCTTTGTACAAGGAGATAAGAATGGATCAATTTGCATTCTTCTACATGTTGACCTCCAGTTGAACCAGCACCATTTGTTGAAAATGCTGTCCTTTTTCCACTGGACAGTTTTAGCTCCTTTGTCAAAGATCAAGTGACCATAGGGGTGTGGGTTCATTTCTGGGTCTTCAATTCTATTCCATTGATCTTCCTGCCTGTCTCTGTACCAATACCATGCAGTTTTTATCACTATTGCTCTGTAGTACAGCTTGAGGTCAGAGATGGTGATTCCCCCAGAGGTTCTTTTATTGTTGAGAATGGTCCTTCTTAGAAGGAGTAACAAAATACTCATGGTAGCAAATATGGAGACAAAGTGTGGGACAGAAACTGAAGGAGGGGCCATCCAGAGACTGTTCTACCTGGGTATCCATCCCATGTGCGTCACCAAAGGCAGACGCTGATGTGGATGCCAGGAAGTGCATGCTGACAGGATCCTGATATAGCTGTCCCCTTAGAGGTCTGCCAGAGCCTGATATATACAGAGGCAGATGCTCACAGCTAACCATTGAACTGATCAAGGGGTTTCCAATGGAAGAGTGAGAGAGAAGACTGAAGGAGCTGAAGGGGTTTGTGGCCCCATGGGGAGAGCAACAATACCAACCAACCAGAGCTCCCAGAGTCTAAACCACCAGCCTGAGAGCACATAGGGAGGGACCCATGGCTCCAGCTGTATATGTAGGGAGGATGGCCTTGTTGAGCATAGGTGGGATAGGAGGTCCTTGGTCCCGTGAAGGCTGGATGCCCCAGTATGGGGGGAATCGGGGGCGGGGAGGTGGGAGTGGGTGGGAGGGGCACATCCTTATAGAAGCAGGAGGAGGGGGGATGGGATAGGGGGTTTCTGGGTGGGTGGGGGAAATGGGGAAAGGGGATCACATCTGAAATGTAAATAAAATATCCAATAAAAAAAAAGAAGGAAAAAATGGGAAGAGCTGGGTAGGCTAGTGCATGCCTTTAACTTGAGTGTTCAGGAGGCAGAGGAGGGTGAATTTCTGTGAGTTCAAAGCCAGTCTGGCCTACACATTGAGTTCAAGAACAGCTAGGCCACATAGAGAGACCCCATGTCAACAAAACATCACAAACAACAGGACAGGGCTCCCTGGGCAGTGGAGGTCAGCCAGTCCTGTGTAAGTGGCAGGGCTTCCTGGGGGTTTGGGGTGATATTTCTCCTCTCTGTCCTCTGCCCCTCCTTCCACGGTTGTTGATGGTGGGGAAGGATGCCCAATAAGCATCCTGGGTTTTGAACCTTAACCAGGATCTGTTTCCTGCAGAAGGCAGCCTACAAGTGTGGGGACCAGATCTCTTGAATGCCAGCTGGATTGACAGGCAAACATGGAGCTGGTTTTGCTCTGGTAGCTGGAGAGGTGGAACTGTGCTTCAGAGGTATGACCATGTGCTATGTGTCTGTCTCACAGGAATGGCCTTTCTGTCTGTGGAGGAGTCCGTTGCCTTCTTGTTGAGAGAATGTACACCTCGCTGTCAGAAAAGATACGGACCCACGTTTGCTCTCCTGCTCTGTGGTGTGCCCGCTGCCGTTGTGAACTAGGAGCAGATGCTCCCTGTCTCCCTGTCTCCGTTACCGCCTAACTACACAGCTGTCTTTCTCCTGCCAGACCTTCATTTGTCATCTCTAATTGGGGACAGCACTGCTACGTGTAGGCTCCTTGTGGAGATTAAATGAGTTAATCTAATGTACCGTGTAGGGCCTGGAACCCAGGGAGCAGGAGGCGGGCTGGTTTGTGTTAGCGGCTGTGCTTGTTTTTCCTGTTGGCACAGAGTATTACCTCTTGGGTGGGCAAATTGGAGTGATGCTTATTTCTTTCAAGAGTGTGTAAATATCCACCACCATTGTGTTCTTAGTCTCCTTTTAAGAAGTGGAGAATGCATATTTGAGTCTTACAACCATCTGGACCCCGGGTGCCTTTTGAAGTTCAAGGTTGTGTAAGAATACATTTCTTAACCATGTGACATTGCTGTAGAGACCTGATTGGATTCCTTTTTCATGTTTATTTTTTTATTTTTTATTTTTTATTTTTTTGGTTTTTCGAGACAAGGTTTTTCTGTGTAGCCCGGGCTGTCCTGGAACTCACTCTGTAGACCAGGCTGGCCTCGAACTCAGAAATCCGCCTGTCTCTGCCTCCCAAGTGCTGGGATTAAAGGCGTGTGCCACCACTGCCCAGCTTTCATGTTTATATTAACTCTCTCTCTGTGTGTGTGTGTGTGTGTGTGTGTGTGTGTGTGTAGTGTATGTACACATTTATATGTCTTCGAGCATGTGTGAGTGAAGGGGTGTTGCCAAAGCCAGAAGTCAATGCTACGTGTCTCTCCAACTTTACTCAGTCTCTCACTGAACCTGGAGCTTACTGATTTGGATAGGCTGACTGGCCCTTGAGCTCCAGAAGATGGCTCCATCTTCTCAGGACTGAGACTACATTGTGTTACCAAGCTTGGCTTTTCCAAACCCTTATTTAAACTTTGAATCGCTCCCCTTATCGTGGAGATAGTCTGGTGAACCTCATGCTGGCCTTGAACTTGCTATGCAGCCAAGATGGACCCTGAACTTCTGATCCTCTTGTTTCCGTCCCCCGAGCATCAGGTTTACTAGCCTGTGGCACCTACTTGGTACTTAACACCAGGGCTTTGTGCATGCTAAGCAAGCTCACTTCCAACTGTCCTACACACTCAGCCCAAGAGCTCTCCCAAGTAAAGATAGTTTTGTGGTCACAGAATTGCCGTGAAGACCGATCCGAGGCTTCCTGGACACCCACATGGTTCTCGTTCCTGCAGATACTCCGTGTTAGCATGGCTCACTCTGCACAACCAGGGAACCAAAGTCTTCATATGTGGTCTAAGCTTTATTCAGATTTTCTCAGTTTCCTGTATACTCTCTGTGTCCCAAGCTCTTATCCAGGGCACCACATGAGGTGCACACACCAGCACTCCCAGGCTTCTCTGTCTGTGATATCTTTGAGGCTGTCCTTGTGTCTGCTTCCCTGGACAGTGAGAAACCAGCCCATCTCCATTTAGTTCCTAGAGGCCATTTTGAGTCTGTAGGTAAGCTAAGGTTCTGTTTACTGTAAAACTTTTCAGTGTTTCAGAGCTGGGCTGCACCTTACCCCAGTAACCATAGAAGGTACCAACCCCAGAGCCACCTGTTCTCAGCAATGTTCTGTGCCCATTGCTCCATGACCCACTTTTCCTTAACTGACCGAACTTGCTTCTGTAACGCCACTTATGTGCAGAAGCCTCTGTCCTATGGTTTTGTGCTATAGAGAAGGGCTTGAGAAACTGGCTCAGGGCTGGTCTTGTAAACCTCTCCATCAGGGGAGACAGCTGTAGATGTGTACACAAATAAAGCTTGCATTCATCTGGCCATAATTTGGATCGGTGGCCTATGTCCTCCAAGCTGTAGGATTAACAGATGGCCCTGTGGTTTTCAGGATGCCTCTGCCTCCATGAGGACTTCCCTGATGACTTTCTTACTGTTAGTCTGGATCTGTGGGAATTCGGAAGGTCACCTCAGGTCAGGGGCAAGTATTAGGCATACATTCACCACTGTTGATGCTAGCCTGAGGCATAACATTCACCACTGTTGGTGCTAGCCTGTGGTAATGTTAGGCGAGTCTCTCTCAAAAGCGCTGCTCTAACTGCCCTGTCCCCACCTCCTTTAGAGGGCTATATTTTCTTTCTTTCTTTTTTTAAATATCTTTGACTGATTCCTTGACACTTTCATACAGATATACAATGTGTCTTGATCCCTTTCACCCCAACTCACCCCTTTCCTCTCCCCACAATGTCCTCTCTCCCACCTTCATGGGATTTTGTTGTTATCCACTGAGTCCTGTCAGTGTTGCCTGCTGGCGTGTGCATTAGCCATAGTGACGGTGAGTTCCTGAGTGAAATAGCTGTGTCAGGTCCTGGGGATGGCATTTCACAGTGCTCTTCCATACCTCCAGCTCCTGAGTCCCCTCTTCCATGAGGTTCCCAGGCCTAGGCCGGGGAGTGTTTGGTGGGGATGGCACATTTAGGGCTGAGGGCTCATCAGTAGCTTATTCTCAGCTCTTGGGCCAATTACATTAGCTGCTGACCACAGTAAGAAGAACCAACTGTCTCTGAGCAGTGTTGGGAGCAGTACAAATCTATGGGTATAAGCACAAATATTTCCAAAGCAGTTTGGCAACATGCCATGACAGTAGTAGGTTCTCCTCTAGGTTCGTGACCTTCTAAACCATGGACTCCTGACTCAGTTTAAAGTGCCAGGCATGGATTTGCTCCTTCAGGCCTCAGATCCAATTTAAAAGCAGGAGGTCTCCCTATGACCTCATCCACTATTGCTCCAGTGCAGCTGGCCACTCTAT